CACAACAAGCTAATAGGGCCAATTCCCTCTACATTTTTAAACCTTAAGCAGATTGAAAGTTTGGACCTCTCCTACAACAATTTGAATGGAAGAATACCCCCTCAGTTGACTGAGCTAAACAACCTAGCTGTGTTTTTTGTTGCACACAACAACTTATCAGGACCAATCCCTGATCGAAAAGCTCAGTTTGGGACCTTTGGTGAAAGTAGCTATGAAGGAAATCCTTTCCTCTGTGGAGCTCCACTGCAAATCAAATGCACCAAAATTGAATCACCATCAGTGACCAATCTCTCCAATTATGACAGGGAAAACAATGGTTTTATTGACATGACTGTTTTCTACTGGAGCTTTGTGGTGGCTTATGTTGCAATCTTGATGGCAATCACAGCAGTTCTACACATAAATCCTTATTGGCGACGGAAATGGTTTTACTTCATTGAAGTCTGCATCACTTCTTGTTACTTCTTTGTTCTGGACAACTTTTGTTTGTTTTCCAAAACAATCATTTAACCTCTGTAGAGTCAAGACTCAAGAGTGACTGGTAATTAGAATTGTAAGAGAAAATGAGTATTCAAGGGGTAACCTTAGATTCAAATGATCTTAATTATGCAAATTTTGATATTTAAGTTTCCCTCTAATAAAGTTCATCACACTAAAACATGCATCTACGTCAATCCCACCAAATGTCATTCATTGGAAAATAATGACAACTCTCACAAATAAAGTGCATGTACAAGACGTTGTGGTCTTTTGTTCTAAGAGAATATGGAGGCAGCTTGATTGGGACAAAAGCTTAAACCAGAATCAAATTAGTTAGGGGTTCAATCAAGGGGCCATGGCTCAAAACCGAACATTCATCCAACCAAAACAGCGTTGGAAAAAATAGCACTCTGATCCTAAAATGTTTACAAAAAGATGAGAACACGAGAAACTTCGGTCACATTTGTGGTCTAAATGCAGCAAAGATACCCAGAGGAACCATCTCTTTAGACTACGCATGTCAAAAATGGTCAGCTGGATACCAAAATTTGCTACTTCCTCGATGTGCTCTCCGCCCACTGTGGCCTGTTAGGACATATCTTCGGAACTTCAAAAAAGTTGAGTCATTCATTCTTCTTCTAAGAAACCTATCATTTGAGGACAATCTTTCTCAAAATTGATGGCACATGCAATTAATATTTAGTACGGAAAAGAGTAGAGAACAGTAATCAGAGTAACGCTTCAGAACTTCCATGCCTCAGTTCACCATGCCCAGCCATACAAGAACAGACGATGGTTATCTAAGCCTTCCTATAGGTGCCTATAGAACATTTAACTCTTGAACTCCATTGGACCACAGAAACCAGCTTGTTTATGTACTCCTGCACATCATCTGCCAGAAGACATGGCTTGCTCAATCCTCCTAATCACAATACTAAGACCACCACCACCTTCCAAAAGCTCTGACAGCAGCTCGATGAGCATGCCTGTGCCATTTAAGCACGTTGAAAGACTGTAGAGCAGACCACCTAGCTTGATTTGAAATCTTCTCAAGGTAATGAAAACCAGTAATTAGCACCTTTTCTCTCTCTGGGTGAGAATAATTAGTACCTATTAATGGAGTAAAGGCATGAAAATAGATAGTTGCAGATTTACTGAGCTACAGACAATGGCAGTTGCAGAAGGACGCAGATGCTGCGAAACATGTTTTCATCATTCTCTGCACCCTCAGCCTCACCATAAACCAGAGCTTCAGCAGCAATACCAGCAAAAAGCACCATGCAGTACCTGATCATATAATCACACATCAATATAATCAATACTAGTAGAAAAATATTCCTGATATGCATTTTTGCTAATGACGTATTTACTAACAGCCTTAAGAGAGAAGAACATGCAATGCACTTCTGCAGAGTGCCTAGAAGAATAGTTTATTTTAACTCCTGTTTAGACAGATTTATTCCACTTGAAATATCAGTGATCATAATTAGAAACTAATGGAATTATAGACCTTATGACCTGATGCAGCAGAAGTAAAGAACAAAGAGATTGAGAGTAATAGAAGAAGATGTTGAAAAGGAGATTGGAAAAAGGGAAGACCTAGAAGGAACAAGAATTAGAAACAAGAATTTAGGTCGGGAAATTTTCTTAGAGTTTGTAGTCAGTATTTCCAAAAACTGACAATCAAATGCATGATGAATAACAATCTGTAAATCTACCAATTTTTCAAATAGTAAATGAAATAAATATAATTTGGATGCTAAACTTGCATTTAAGGCAAGAATATCTAAATCTTTAGGCAGCATCAAACATCAGAGACACCACCTAGTGATACCAACCTGTCAAAGGTAGAGCCACTCAATCGTCCTTCAGCCAGCACATTACTCATTTTCTCATCCCAAAACTGAGTTCCAGCCAGTAGAAAATCCTGAGTTGGGTCTTTATAACTTCCGTAAACTAAAGGTGTCAACAAGAGATTATATTGCTTAAGAATCAAACAGCATACAGCATGCAGTTTGATTTACTTTACAAAAATACTTAGAGAAAAATGTAATTAAGAAAAATTCATAATGACCACCTGCCCTTGGACGCCCATCTGCATTGCAGCAATTGGATCTAAAAGCACTCCATGAATTGGGCAACCCTTAAGCTACACTCCAAATAAATTAGCAAAGCTGCAAAAGAACATTAGTTATGCTCGTAAGCCAATGTCATATGCCAAGATCATTGTCAAAGAACCAGAAGACACCCAAGAGAACATCAGCCTTTTGGCCACTGCTAAACATGCAGAAATGACCATGCAAAAAGTGTCCAAATGCAGGGATTCATATTTCAGATTTTGTATTTAAAAAAAAAAAAAACCATAATAACATTAAAGTGAACAATGCAAGTATTACATACCACCAAGGAGGTGGCCTGCTTCATGAACTAGAGTCGGATGCCTATGCGGAGGCCAGTAACTTGAGATCAAAGCTAAACATGTACCCCCAAGAAAGATAAGAGTCTAAAAAGGCTAGGCGCAGTATGGCAACAAGGTTAGGCCTGATATCAATCCCTTGAGAAAGCAGAAAAGAGACTCCACCCAGAAGGGCAACCAATGCAATGCTTGAGGTTCCAGAAGAACCCCACTTTTTTTGGAGAAAGTTTAGAAAATGAAAAAGGAAAAGGTAATCCATAATTACTTCAATGAAATTTTACTTTTATGTTCTTTTTTTTTTGGTTCCCCATCCGGTATCCGGGGCTTTGCCCCGACTACTCCGGACTCGACCAGCTGTGGCGCACCAGAATGGTGGGTGGGTCTCCCAACGAAGATTGCTGCGTACACAAGGTCTCGAACTCGAGATCTTGCTTAAGCTGGAACAAGCCGCTTGCCACTTGATCCAACCACTCGTTGGTTACTTTTATGTTCTTAGATGAAAACAAAATGCTAGAATACCAACTACCATAAAACAACCCAATCATAATAGAACGATATACATTATTATAATCCCAATCATCTAAAACCATGCATTCTGCTGAAGCTGCAAAGACTTCTACATGCAAACTAGTTCAAATC